TGCGGGCGGCGCAGGCCAAGCGAGGGGCCCGGGGACCCCATTCGGGCCGGGCGAAAGGGGGGGATAGCAAAGGGGTGGTTTGAGAATCGGCTCACGTGGCTGATTTTCCCGGCGCCTCCCGGCGCCGGGAGGCGCCCATGTATCGAGGAATGGGCCCATCGGTGGGGCCGAAACCAGCTGCACGCAGCAGATTTCGTATCCCCCCTTTTCCCAATCCCCCCCCCTTTCGTCCAGGCCGACTCATGCTGAGGGGGCAGGGCGAGGAAGCAACTCCTGGGAGGTCTTCGCTGGAACGATTTAGGCCGACTGAGCCCGATTATAGAAGGCCACTTCGCCGGATCAGGCCACGTGAAGCCCATGGGAAGAAGCCGGATTATCAGCCGGACAGAACGGGGTCACGCTGGACTGAGCGGATGGGCCCAGATGAAGCCGGCTATCGACCCGCGACATTACCAGCGCAGATACAGAATTGAACTTTCCCAAAAGAGGAAAAAACTAGCGGAGCGCGCCAGGGAGGGCACCAGAGGCGCCGCCGGGGAGGCCCACCGAGGATCGGGGGGGGACCCCGGCGCGTGGAGGAACCCAGACACGCCCACCAGGGTCGCCGCCCCATAAAGGCGGCCAGGGCGCCCAGAGGCCCCCCCCAGCCACCCGCCGCCAGGCCTGCGCTCAGCTGCCCCGACACGCCGCACGCAACACGCAGCGTACAGTGGGAGCTCGACCGCATGACACCTTCCGCAAGAAACCCAACCGTGAGGCCCCGGGACGTCCATTTATTTGGGTGTGGGGAGTTCAGACTCTCCATCGCAGGAACATCAAGACCCAATAAACCCTCGGAACCCTGGAGGCAAGCAGGATGTTTTTATTCCCAACCCTCCTGCGTTGGGTTCTCGTTTTGAATAGAGCACTGCTCGCGCGTCTCCTTCCTTCCTTCCCGCCTCCCGTCCCTCTCTTCCCCCCTGCCTTTCACCTCGCCATCCCTGGGGGGCTGTGAAACTGTCGCCACTTTCGAAGCCTGCTGGGGGGCCCAGCACAGTGGGTACTCACCGCAGACTCAAATGGGACCTCGCCATCCCTGGGGGGCTGCGATCTGTGAAACCGTCGCCACTTTCGAAGCCTGCTGGGGGGCCCAGCACAGTGGGTACCCACCGCAGACTCAAATGGGACCTCGCCATCCCTGGGGGGCTGCGCTCTGTGAAACTGTCGCCAATTTCGAGGGTTGCTGAAGGGGCCAGCGCAGTGGGTACTCACCGCAGACTCAAATTAGACCTCGCCATCCCTGGGGGGCTGCGATCTGTGAAACTGTCGCCACTTTCGAGGCCTGCTGAGGGGCCCAGCACAGTGGGTACCCACCGCAGACTCAAATGGGACCTCGCAATCCCTGGGGGGCTGCGATCTGTGAAACTGTGGCCACTTTGGAGAGCTGCTGAGGGGCACAGCACAGTGGGTACTCATCGCTGACTCAAATTAGACCTCGCCATCCCTGGGGGGCTGCGATCTGTGAAACTGTCGCCACTTTCGAGGGCTGCTGAGGGGCCCAGCACAGTGGGTACTCACCGCGGACCCAAACGAAACCTCGCCGTCCCTGGGGGGGCTGCGATCTGCGAAAGTGTCGCCACTTTCGGGAGCTGCTGGTGGGTCCTGCGGAGTGAGGCGCCGCGCGCACCTGAGCGGGACCTCGGCGTCTTTGGGGGGGTGCGATCTGCGAAACGGTCGCCACTTTCGAGGGCTGCCGGTGGGTCCTGCGGGGTGAGGCACCGCGCGGACCTGAGCGGGACCTCGCCGCCCCTAGGGGGCTGCGATCTGCCAAAATGTCGCAACTTTCGAGGGCTGCTAGTGGGTCCTGCAGAGTGAAGCACCGCGCGGACCTGAGCGGGACCTCGCCGTCCCTGGGGGGGCTGCGATCTGCGAGACTGTCGCCACATTCGAGGGCTGCTGGTGGGCCCTGCAGAGCGAGGCGCCGCGCGGACATGAGCGGGACCTCGCCATCCCTGGGGGGCTGCGATCTGTCAAACTGTCGCCACTTTCGAAGGCTGCTGAAGCCCAGCACAGTGGGTATTCACCGCAGAGTCAACTCAGACCTCGCCATCCCTGGGGGGCTGCGATCTGTGAAACTGTCGCCAATTTCGAGGCCTGCTGGGGGGCACAACGCAGTGGGTACTCACCGCAGACTCATACTAGACCTTGCCATCCCTGCGGGGCTGCGATCTGTGAAACTGTCGCCAGTTTCGAGGGCTGCTGAGGGGCACGGCACAGTGGGCACTCACCGCTGACTCAAATTAGACCATGCCATCCCTGGGGGGCTGCGATCTGTGAAACTTGCCACTTTCGAGGGCTGCTGGGGGGCACAGCACAGTGGGTACTCACCGCAGACTCAGATTAGACCTCGCCATGCTTGGGGGGCTGCGATCTGTGAAACTGTCGCCACTTTCGAGGGCCGCTGAGGGGCACAGCACAGTGGGTACTCACCGCTGACTCAGACTAGACCATGCCATCCCTGGGGGGCGGCGATCTGCGAAACTGTCGCCAGTTTCGAGGGCCGCTGAGGGGCACAGCACAGTGGGTACTCACCGCTGACTCAAATAAGACCTCGCCATCCCTGGGGGGCTGCGATCTGTGAAACTGTCGCCACTTTCGAGGGCTGCTGAGGGGCACAGCACAGTGGGCTTCCCGCACGTCTTTTTCCTGCTCTTCGTTCCCGACTCCCCTTGTCCTCTTCGAGCCTGTAGTTGTCGCCCCTCGTTCTTGTAGGGTTCTCCTGCGCATCATGCCATAGGCGCGTGTCCCAAGTAGCTTACATATCAAACAACGGATCCTGCAATTCGATTGTCCATGCAAGTTTCGGCCAACTCCCCGTTTCCCATGATACAAATGGGTTGGGTACGTCACAGGGTAACTTGGCATGGGCTCCCACAGTATTGATACAGAGCTCAACACGTAGACTGAACACGGAGGTCTGACGCGATGCCTTCGCGAAAACGCGAACCACTACGCCGAGCCAACACGTAACGTCTTGGCACGGACGTTTCTAACTCGGCACGTGTTGCAGCGTATCGACATGGGCGTATTAGGGCATCTACTCCAGATTTCGTAATAAAGGGAGGGGGGTCTCATTTCGGGGGGGGTCTCTTCCAGGCTATCTTGGAGGGCCTGGGGGGGTCTGGGGACGATGTTTTGGAGGGTTCTCCCAGGGGGGGGGGTCTGAAATGGCTTGTCCTGGAGGGTCCAGACCCCCTCCCTTGTATTACGAAATCTGGAGTAGGGTCCTGCGGCCTGGCTCGCCTTCGTCGCACAGATTCCACTCCAGCCCGCGCTGTGCGAGACAGCGCAGCCCCCCCCGCGCTTCCCGGGCAAGGGCAGGGGCGTTGTCTGCACAAGCACCGAGAGGGGGGAGGGGAGGAGGAGAGGAGGAGGAAGCACGGGGAGGAGGAGGAGGAGGAGGAGGAGAGGGAGGAGGAGAGGGGAGGAGGAGAGGAGGAGGAGGAGGAGAGGGGGAGGGGAGGAGGAGAGGGAGGAGGAGAGGAGGGGGAAACACGGGCTTGGTTGTCGGGTCACAGCTCGGATCTCTGGCGGCTCTTCAGGACGATCCGGGCACCCCCGGAATGCTCTCGGAGAGGCGCATCTGCTGGAACGCATCCCGGGGCTGGGACATCGGTGCTTCAAAGATGGAGCCCTGAGGAATGGGGTCCTAAGGAAGAGGTGCTTCAAACAGCGCAAATCCTTCCTTGGACCCCTTCCTATCCTCAGGACACCATCGCTCAGAACCCCATCTTTGAACCACCGAGGAAACCGCCGCGAGCCAGCGACAGCGCCAGAACGCCGCGAACCTCGGGCCTGGAGGAGGAGGAGGAGGAGGAGGAGGAGGAGGAGGAGGAGGAGGAGGAGGAGGAGGAAGAACGCCACATGGTAGTAACCTTAGGTTGGTCTATCGTAAAAACGAAGAGGAAGAGGAGGGGAAGGAGGAGGAGGTGGAGGAGGAGGAGGAGGAGGACCTCCTGGGCGCGCCGCCGAGCCGCCGAGCCCAGCTGCCCGCCCCGGCCGCGCCAGCCCCCGCGCGCGCGCGCGAGCACAGCTCCGCGCCGCCCGCCGCGCTGCGCAGCCCCCCCGCGCGCGGTCGCCGCCTGCCGCCGCAGGTGCGGGCGGCCTGCCGTGGGCAGGTCCGCCTTCGTCGTGGGCGCCACGGGCGCGCCGTTTTGGACGCCCGAAATGGGTACGGAAAGAATGGGTACAATGCCCAACAACAAATGTTGTCCCAAACCAACAGCGGTTGCTGTTGGGCGGGCGGCCTCCTGTCTCGAATGGACACAGGCCGCGGCGGCGCGGACAGCGAGCCCTGTCCGGAATGAACAGGAACTGCCGTTGGGCATCGTACCCATTCTTTCCGTGCCCATTTCGGGCGTCCAGAGCCGTGGGCAGGGCGCGCGCAGTGGGCATGCTCTCCGTGGTCGTGTTCGGCCTCCACGGGCCCTCGCCAGGCCCCAGGACGGTCAGACGGCCGCTCGGGATCTCGGCCGCCCCGACGCGCAGCGCGCTGCCCGTGGCGCGCTGACACAGGGAGCCCAGCACGTGGACCGAGAGCGCAGGTCTGGCCCGACACGTTCGCCAAAACGTGGGCCCGCACGCGCCGAGACAACACGCAGCGTGTGCACACCGATGTGGTGAACACGGCACGTGTTGCGTTTCAGAACGGGCGCATCAGGGCAGCTAAGCAGCTAAGCTCGGGATGAAAAACGGGGCCTGGGGAAGGGGTCGGGATGAAAAACGGGCCCCTGGGGAAGGTGACCACATACACATATGTTATGCACGCGCGCGATTGCTCATCAATAAGCATAAGCATCATGTAATGATATCCAGTAGTCTTGTGGTATCACGTGGAACATGGGATCATGATTTAGCTGACCTGCAGACTAGCTATCCACGCCATGGAGGAAACTCCGCATGCCGATCGCGACCAGAAGATGCGGAGGATCAACACTGATCAGGCCGCCTAAGCCGCAGACCCAGCGATAGAACCAGGACCTCTGTCGGCGGATACGAACCTTAGCTGCGCAGCCAAGTCGGGACCAGATCGCATGTGCAACGCGTCAGCCCACCGCCCGCTCCGAAAATGCCCACCCTCACTACCCTGCACGATGCCACCGAGCAAGCCCCACACCACTTCCGCAGAGGAGGAGAAGAAGGAGGAGGAGGAGGAAGCGGAGGAGGAGGAGGAAGAGTAGGAGGATAAGGAGTAGGAGAAGGAGGAGGCGGAGGAGGAGGCAGAGGAGGAGGAGGAGGAAGCAGAAGAGGAGAAGCAGGAGCAGGCAGAGGAGGAGAAGGAGGAGGAGCGTGGCCGATGTAGGAGAAGGAGAAGGATGAGGAGGAGGAAGAGGAGAAGGCGAAGGAGGAGGAGGAGGAGGAGGAGCAAGGATGATGATGATGATGATGATGATGATGATGATGATGATGATGATGATGATGATGATGCTGATGCTGATGCTGATGCTGATGATGATGCTGATGCTGATGCTGATGCTGCTGATGATGATGATGATGATGGGATAATAATCGTAGAGCATGAGTGTTGATGTGCACCGACAGTTTGGGGTGGGATCGTGGAATTTTCCTTGGAGCCTCGGAGCCCGCAGGGGCGTGCCAGCTTGTGGGGGGGCCTTTTCGCCGGTGGGCCACGTTCCCGGCCTGGCTCCCCTCGGCCCTCCAAAACGGGTGGGCTCGGTAGGTTTGGTTTTGGTTGCCCGTGAAGGCCCCCTGCCCTCGCGTGTGCTGCACGGCCTGCTCCGCAACCGTTTCATGTGGCTCCAATCTGGTACAGATTATCGCGAGGACTGGGCGCCCAGCCCACCTCGCAGCAGGGCGCGGCATGGCGCCCTGACGGGAGCAGCGGACTCCACCCGTGGAATCATAGATTGTGCGAGGCCGTGGCGCGCTGCCCAGGAGCAGCAGGCCGCGGCGAGCTGGTGTGCTGGACGCCGAGCGCCGCAGGCGCGACGACGCCAGGCAGAGCTGGATGGCAGTGTCGGCAGGAGCCAAGAAGGCGGGGACCGACGCGCTGTGGGCCGCTGGTGCTGACGTTACGGACGATGACGTCGCGGGCCTCGTCCTGAAGGTGAGGGCGACGCTGAACGCGGGGCGGGCCCCCCGTTCGAAGCTGGACGAGGCACGACGACTGGAGGCAGCGCTGGACCCGGTGGCCATCCGCCTGGCGCTGGGGAACCCGGAGGTCCCGGGCTCTGAGATGGCCGAGGCCCTCTGTGGGTTCACTGAGGCCGCCACGTACGCCACGCAGGCGGAGAGCCGGATCAGGAGTGGCGGCCGACACCGATGGCTGGGAGAGGATCGCGGATCGGATCTGGGCCCGTGCAGTCGGCGACGACGGCGGCACGCTGCCCACCGACTGGCTGCTGCACCTGGGCATAGGGCTCCTCCTGTCCAGCCTGGTGGTGGTGCTTGGGGCCGACTCCGGGCGGCACCGCCTGGCAGGCGCAGCTGTGGGGCTGTGCGGCACCGTCCTGCTAGTACGGCGCGTGCCCGAGCGTGTGGTTGCCTGGTGGGCACGCTGGAGGCGGCGCTCGGCCTTCGCCGCGGCGCTGAGCAGCGGCGGGGACGGCCTGGACCTGACCGCCGCCGAGGACGACAGCGCGGCCTGGGACGCGAAGGGGGCCCCGACGACCAAGGGGGGTGGCTCGGGGGCCGCGGAGGTTCCTACTGGCCCGCTGCACCCCCCGGGGCTGGCAGCACTGCCGCCGTCGCCGTGGGCCCCACCTGCCGATGGCGTGGGCGCGGGCGCCCCGCCGGCCAAGCCCGGCTCGCAGGACCTGGCGGCGCTGCGGGCGTTCGGCCAGGGGTCCGAGGTGCCAGGCCCCTTCAGCCAGACGGCGGCCCTGCAGCAGCAGCAGCAGCAGCCACAGCCGAGCCCAGAGGTAGGCGTGCCAACGTCGGGGCTCAGCTTCCACGCGCCCCATGCTCCTGCAGACGCGGTGAAGCTAGGGCGCGAGGTCCAGATGGTGGGCGCCACGCTGCGCGAGTTCCAGGCGCAGGCGGCCACGAACGTGTACTGGGCCTGGCACTTCTGGGAGAGAATCGCGGCGGTGGATGGCTCCATGGGGCTGCACCCTGACCTCCGTCGCGTGCTGCAGACCCACGGCTACGTGGGCGCGGGAACGAAGTCCCCGCCAGGAGGATCGCTGCAGGAGGAGCTGGACGCGCTGCTCTCCTCCTCCACAGCGCCGCACGGCGGGGGCATGCACGCCTCCCCTGGGTGGGCCGTGGCTCCGGTGACCCAGCAGCAGCAGGAGGACAGCCGATGGAACCTCAGCCTCCCGCCGGACCTGCGACGCGCGGCGCCGGAGATCTACCGCACCATGCGGGGCGCTGGGGCGGCTAGCGCTCGCGACTGGCTGTCGCAGGAAGTGACGGGCCAGCGACACACGGCAGTCTGGACCGACCTGTGGACTGCCGCCACCAACGTGGACTACTTGCTGGGCGGGTGCAGGACCCAGTCCGAGCTGCTCACCCGCCTGGCGTCCGACGATGCGCTGGAGCTGCACCTGAGGCGGCTGGCGAACTACGTCTACGAGATGCGGACGAAGGACAAGGTGGGTGTGGCGGCCATGCTGGCCGTACGCCCGCCCGGGTCGGCCGCCGACTTGGCTCCCACATGGCTGGTGACCGAGGCCACGACCCACAGCAAGGCTGAGCACCAGCGTGACGAGAGGGTCCACGCCGCCAGCAAGCACGACAGCCGAGGCGGCGGCCGTGGCGGTGGGCACGGAGGTGGAGCTGGCGGCGGCGCCGAGGCGGCGGGCGGCGGCAGAGGAAGAGGTGGCGATGGCGGGGGGCGCGGCCGCGACCGAGGGGGTAAGCCCTCGGGCCGGGGCAAGCCTCAGGCTTGACAGCCACTGGCGGACCGAGGGGCTTACGACCCGCCCTCGGTCCGAGAAGGTGCCCCGCGGCCGCGGGTGCAACCTAGAATGCCAGTGGCGGGTTTGCCTGGCTAGCTGACGCGGGCCTTGCAGTGGAAGGAGGCCGAGGCCAGGTCGTTCTTTCCAGTACCTCTACCTCATCGGCCACAGCAAGGAGCTTCCTCTTCCGGCAGGTTGAGGACGCGCTGGGCTCGACGCATGCGTGTGGCGTCGGGCCTGTGGGCTCATCGAGCTCATGAACGGGATGGACCGCGGATCCCTGGAGACGAGACCAGCGGGCCAGCGTGAGCCGAGCAACGACGACATGATACTGGCCTGGCAGCTCGTGCAGCAGTATGCGTTACAGGACGCAGCGCGGTACGAGCGCGACTGCCGGGGGCTTGCCCCGACAGGCGGTCAAGGGACGGATCTTGCCTGCGACCGAGGACCGCAGGATGCCTACACAGGAGAGCGCAAGGGTGTGATCAGGCACGTGATGATGTGCGCCGCGGCGGTTGCAGAACCTCCCGACGATATGGTCGTGGACCTGCTGGAGGCGCTGCCTGACGGCGAGCGCCAGTACTACTCGGACGAGCTGAACGTTCTGGACTACAGCGGCAAGTCGGGGGTCCTCTTCGAGGAGCTGGAGGAGCGTTTCGCTTTCGTGGGGGCTCGACGTCCGAGTACGCCCGCTACATGATGCGGGCCGATTTGCCGAAGGACATGTGGACGTTCGAGGACCCCGACGACGTCCAGGCCTACTGCGGGTTCAGCGTGCCCAAGAAGGACCCCACCAAGCAGCGGAAGGTCCTGATGACGTGTGCCAGCAACTACGCGTGGGCCGACCCCCACCAGCGCGGAGACCACGGGATGCACGGCGGAGCGGCCATCGCCTCCATGTGCGTCCCGACGGACGAGTGGGGCGTAGCAGCGTTCGACGAGGACAACGCCTTCACCCGCCTCCGCGTCCCCGCTTGGATGGCCAAGTGCCAGGCTTGCCCGCCGATCCGCGCCTGCTGGGTGCGGGGGAAACTCAGCCAGCGTTTGCGCGACATGGTGGGGCCGACGGGCTGGATAGCCCCCTGCTACCACCGCCTGGCCATGGGCGGCTCGCACTCCGTGCACCTGCTCATGACGGTCAACATGGCGATCATCGGCAGGGCGCTGCCGGGCGTGGGCGCTCGCTCGGGGGCGCTCGCGGGCGCCGCGGCGCCCGCCGAGGGCGGGGCCAGCGGTGCGCCGCGCGCCTCGCCGCCCGAGGACGGGGGGCTGGAGGCGGACGACCGGGGGGGTGCCGGACCTGAGGACGCTCAGCAGCATCGCTACGACGACGACTGGCTCGGGCAGCAGTCCAGCTGCCGTGCCGCGCCGCCTAGCCCGTCGGGCTACAGCGTGGCGGAGTGGCTAGAGGCGGTAAGGCGGGCGAAGCGGGACGACGAGCGCGCGATGGTGGCGATGCATCTCTTTGCTGGCCGTCGGCGGCGTGGTGACGTTCAGGAGGTGGTGGAGAGGCTGGCGATGGAACGGAGCCTGAGGGTGCTCTTTCTTTCTGCCGATCTCCTGGACGACCCGCGGTGGGACCTGGCCAGCCCTCCCGCCTTCTCCGCTTTGATGGAGCTGTGCGAAGGCGGCTGGGTGGACGTCGTGCTGGGCGGCCCGCCCTGTTCGACCTGGTCGCGGGCTCGCTACAATCGTCGCCGACCAGGGCCGCCGCCAGTGCGGTCGCGGCGGTGCCCCTGGGGGCTGCCAGGCCTCAGGGCCTGGGAGGCCGCTAGAGTCGCGGAAAGTAACACCCTGACGCTGAACTTGTTGGCACTCTGCGAGGCGTGCGTCCAGAGCGGCGGCGCCTTCCTCATCGAGCACCCGGAGGACCCAGGGCATGCGCCCTACCCATCCATTTGGAACACGACGGAGATGCAGGACTTCGAGACGAGGCGCTCGTCTCAGAGAGCGCGCCTGGACCAGTGCATACTGGGCGGACGGACGAAGAAGCCCACATGCCTGAGCGGCACGCTGCAGGGACTGAAGGACCTGGATGAGCTGCGGTGTGACGGGCCCCATGCCCACGAGACGGCCGAGGGCAAGTTGGCCGACGGCACCTTCCGCACGAGCCCGCTGGCCCAGTACCCCGAGGGGATGTGCGAAGCGCTGGGCGCCTTGATTGTCCAGACCCTGGCCATCTTCGAGCAGGCCGGTCTGGGCGGCACCGGGTGGCGAAGGCCGCCGGAGGCCGACAGGTCGGTCACCGCCTGGAGCTCGCGGAGCACTACGGCACCAGCGGTGGCCGTGCGGAACGAGGACGTGCTTCGCGGCCGTGGGCTGGTGCTGGATGGGCCGCAGATGGCCTTCTACCTGCACGTCGACGACGGGGTGGTGATGGCCGGTGGCAGCGGCTGTGGCCCACGGGCCACTGGGAAGATGCACCAGCTCGCGGATGCCCTGGCCGAGGCCGGCTTCGTGGCCACCGACCGCACGGAGGCTAACGACATGCAGAAGGTGCTGGGCTACGCACCACAGGCGCGCCCAGCGCAGCTGCGCTTGCCCCCGAAGAGGGCGCGGGAGCTGGTGCGGCAGCTGGAGGAGATGGGCGCCACCCGCACCCTCCACACCGAGGAGCTGCGCTCGCTCTTGGGGGTGTGGATATGGGGCGCTCTGCTTCGGAGGGAGCTGCTATGCATACCCAGCGCCGTCTTCAGGCTCCTGGAGAGGCACCCGCACCAGCGGGTGTGTACCTGGGCGACCGTCCGCAGGAAACTGCGAGCTATGGCGCAGGTAGTCCCGTTGATGTACGCCGACCTGGGAGCCCCGCCAGCCCCCGTGTATTTCGCGGCGGACGCCATGGGCGCCAACGTGGAGGACGACGGCGGCTGGGGCATCCTGGTGACCGACATGAGCGAGGACATCGCGAAGGACTTCATCGACACGGGCGGCAACTTGGGCTACACCGTAGCGCGGCTGGACGGCGAGCTCACTGGATTGCGACGGCCCGAGCAGGTCATCCGACGGACGAAGCCCTTCAGCCTCCTGCCCGATCGCGTGTTCAAGCCCGACGAGGACTGGGCGATCGTGGGCGCGGGAAGGTGGCGGACGGCCGACCACATCACGCTGGGCGAGGGGCGCTGCGTCGTGAAGATCAGTAGACTGGCGGCCGCCACTCCGGCCCTCCACCGCACCGTGCTGCCGATCCTGGAGGACAACCAGCCAGTCTCAGGCGCGGCATGCAAGGGCAGGTCCCCGGCGCACCATCTGAACCACCTGTTGCGTCAGAAGACCGCAGCAGGGTTAGCATCTCGCACAAAGATTTTGATTCCATGGGTGGAGACGCTCAGGCAGCCTGCTGATAAGATGTCGAGGTGCCTGACTCGTGCTGAGCTCCGCGGCCTACCTCATGTCGGGGCCGAGGAAGCTGGACAGCACTTCTGTTGAGAAGGTTAAGCCGCACACCCTGGCGGCTTACAGGGCAGCGGCTATGAAATTCGCGACCTACCTGGACGAGCGCGGCTTCGTACCCGACGGGCCCGAGCAGTGGGACGACCTGCTTGTCGAGTACAAGAACGACATGCAGATGACCAAGTGCAATTTCGAGTACGCCGTCGCGGCGGTGGAGTTTGTCTTCCCACGCCTGAGAAGGAGGCTGACGTGGTCCCACTCGGTGATCGATGCATGGCGAGTTTCGGCAGAGGTGAAGCATGCGCCGCCGCTCGGCCGCGCGCCAGTTAACCTGGCCGCTATCTATTTCTGGGGAGTACCGCGGCTGGGCGTAGGCCTGCTGCTGCAGGTGGATCGCGGCTTGCGCCCGTCGGAGATGCTTCAGCTGCGAGCAAAAGACATATCCTTGCCATCGTCTAGAGGGGGGCCGGATTTGCAGCCAAATTGGGTCATCAACCTGGGGGCCAAGTCGGGCACAAAGGCCAAAAGAATGCAGTTCGCCATTATTTTGGAGCAGGGCGGAGTACTGGAGAACCTCCTACACCGAAAGGTCTTGGGAACGCCGCCCGAGGGGCTCCTCTTTCCCTATTCGCTCGTCGACTACAGGCTTCGGCTCAAGCAGTTTGAAGCAGCCTTGGGCCTCGACATTCACTGGGCGCCTCACTCGGCGCGCGCAGGGTTCGCCAGCGATTCCGTGGCTCGTGGCGTCCCCTTCCAGGACATCAAGGAGGCAGGGCGGTGGCTCACGGAGTCCAGCCTCCGCATCTACGTGGACGTTGTCACCGCCTCCAGGGTCCTGGCTCAGGCTGAGCAGCGAGGAATCGCACCGCTCATCCGCGAGGCGGCCGAGAAGCTGCCCAACTACTTCCCGGAGGGCATCTTCGGCGAGGGTGAGGGCATCCAGCATGCCGCCAGCGGGCTGGCGCAAGGGCCAGGGCGGCTCCTGGGTGCTGCCTGCGGAGGGAGTCCCTCCAGCGCCGCTGGCGGGGGGCCGCCGGGTGGCCTCGCCAGCGCCCCGAGCGGCGCTAGCCCAGCCGCCTGCGCCAGCACTAGGCGCACTGGTGGATGGGCTGCTGGCGGGCCCGCAGCAGCCGGGGGATGCAGCAGCGGGCGCGGGCGCGGCCGAGGCCGAGGCGCCAGCGCCAGCGGCCCCTGGCGGGGCAGCACTGGGGCCCCCGCAGCCGCCGGGGGCGCAGCCGCTGGCAGCGGGCGCGGCCGCAGGGTCGAGACGCGCGCGCTGGAGCAAGTGGTCGCTGCTGCGCGCGGCCTGGCTCATCGCAAGGTGGTGCGGACGCTCAACCTCGCGAGGAGTGACGTGGGCGGCGGTCGCCGCGATGCTGATCGGGTGGCGCTACATGGCCGGGCCGCTGACCCACGTCGGGACCATGATGGGCGTCGTGGCCAGCGTATCCGTCTCGGCAGGCAAAGTGGTCGACAGCAGCCTTGGGGCAGTCATCGCGGCGGCACAAGGCGCGTCAGACTTCGCCGTGACGTCGCCCCGCAGCTCGGCGAGCCTCCTGCAGGAGGCCTGGCGCGGAGTGGACATCACCAACCTTCACGTCCGCCAGCGCCACGCCGAGCGGCTCGCGGACGACCCCGAGATCTTGCAGGCCTGGATCCAGCGCGAGTTCCTGACAGGCGAGCCCCGACCGCCTGGAGCCGAGCAGGTCGCCACCACGATCGCTGAGGCTTCGGTTACCATACCTCACATGTCGGAGAGATGGCAGATAATGATCTGGCCCAGTCAATACCGCGAGCTGCACATGACACTCGACCTGCTGCCGTCAGGTTTCTACGGAGTCCATATGGTCGAGCGAATCGTGAATTTCACGGTCCAGTGGAGCAACCCAGTGTGGAACAGCCTCGACTGTGACATCAGCTCTGGGAGAGATACAGTCGTAGCTCACATCAACTCCACTTTGGCAGGGCTCCCGCTCCCCGAGATTCGCTACATGTCCATGACCGATCGTGAAATCCAAGTCGCCAGGCTCCCAGGTGCCTGGATCAATATTGCCCGTAGGTTCGTGCGTGCTGTATATATGGCAGTGAAGAGTGTTTTGCAGCTCGTTTTGTTCGGAATCTAGGGTGGTCACCGAAGATATATGAGTTTTCTGGAGCACACTGCGAGGGCGGGCCTGGGGGCTTGCTTTAGGTTTTGTTTGTGTTCCAAGTTCCTTCTCAACTCAACAAGGTCCGCGCACATTTTGTGCCCCGGGTGAAGGACCAAGCTGTTGAGACACATACAGCTCGCGAGCGGAGGTGGGTAGAGCTCGGCGGCAAACTTGAAGTTAGCAAGCCTAGCAGCAATTTTATTGTACTTCTCGCCTCCCCAGCAAAACATTCCAAGGGTGGGTCGAAACGGACACCATCATGGGATAATTCGCCGGCCCAACGGGCCAGAGGCGTGCTAAGATCTCCGGTAACTGGTTAACAATTGTATTGTACTAGTTCGCGCGCGCGGGGCGGCCCCTGGGGGTCCCCCGGCGAAAAGTACCCCGCCCGCCGCCTGGCAAGGTCCCGCCCGGTTCAACTCAGAGATGGTTTTCCTTCTGGGTGCGGCCTCTCAGGCCGCCCTGAGCGCGCCAAGAGTGCCCCAAGAGGCCCCCAAGACTGCCCAAGAGGCCCCCGAGACGCCCAAAGAGCGCTCGAAGACGCCGAAGATGACCCCAAGACGGCCCAAAAGGCCCCCAAGACAGCCCAAGAGGCCTCCAAGACGCCCCAAGAGCCTTCCAAGAGGCCTCCGAAGAGAGCCCCAAGAGGCCAAAATCGTTGATTTTCATTTGTTTTTTCGATGTTTTTTGTGTTCTGGCTTTTTCGGCTTCCGGACGCTCCAAGACGGCCCAAGAGGCCCCCAAGACCGCTCCAAGACGGCCCACGAGGCTCCCAAGACGGCCCCGGAACGGCCCAGGAGGGCCCCCAAGACGGCCCAAGTGCCGCCCAAGACGGACCAAGAGGCCCCAAGACGGGCCCAAGAGGGGCTCAAGAGGGGAACCGAGAACTGAAAAATCGAGCCCTCCGCCCCAGAAGGCGCCCAGGAGGCCCCAAAAAGGCCCCAAGAGGCCCCCAAGAGGCCCCCAAGACGCCCCAAGAGGCGCCCAAGAGGCCCAAAAGAGGCCCCAAGAGGCCCCAAAACGGCCCCCAAAACTCGGCTAGCCCACAACGGTGCGACAATATGGGCCGGCGGAATGAGCGAAGCGATTAAATAATCGTAGAGCATGAGTGTTGATGTGCACCGACAGTTTGGGGTGGGATCGTGGAATTTTCCTTGGAGCCTCGGAGCCCGCAGGGGCGTGCCAACTTGTGGGGGGGCCTTTTCGCCGGTGGGCCACGTTCCCGGCCTGGCTCCCCTCGGCCCTCCAAAACGGGTGGGCTCGGTAGGTTTGGTTTTGGTTGCCCGTGAAGGCCCCCTGCCCTCGCGTGTGCTGCACGGCCTGCTCCGCAACCGTTTCATGTGGCTCCAATCTGGTACAGATTATCGCGACCCCCCCACCGTCCCCCGCCGAGCCAGAGCTCGGCGGCAAACTTGAAGTTAGCAAGCCTAGCAGCAATTTTATTGTACTTCTCGCTCCCCAACAAAACATTCCAAGGGTGGGTCGAAACGGACACCATCATGATGATGATGATGATGATGATGATGATGATGAGGAGGATGAGGAGGATGATGATGATGATGATGATGCTGATGATGATGGATGATGATGATGATGAGGAGGAGGGGCGGAGGAGGAGGAGGAGGAGGAGGAGGAGGAGGAGGGTGTCCCTGGCCCAAGTGCCCCCAAGATTCCCAAGCAGGCTCCGACGGCCTCCAGAGAACCCCCCTCTCGAGGCCCAGAGGGCACGAGTGGCTCCAGGATGGAGCCGGGAGCTGGCGGCACCTCCCCAGGGATCTGCCGCCACGAAACAACATGACAAGATTGCGAAACCTCGGGACCGGAGCCCTGGACACAATCTTTCTGCAGCATGTTTCGAGCCGGCTCGATCCGTGATGGTCCCGGGGCCCGACGCTGTCTGGCCCCGGCATGTCTGTCGGGCATGTCCCCCTACAGGCGGATTTTGGACGAAAGATGGAAAATACTTACAAAAACAAAGTGGTCAAACATAGGCGAAAAATCGCCCCCAGACTATGTTTTACTATTTTTGAATATTCCTCCTGTTGAGGGACAGGTCCGACTTAAACATAGAGTGGGACTTCTGAAATAAGGGCCGACCTTTTCTGAGCATTTTCTCAGGGTGGAGGACTCAGGGTGAAGTCCAGATGGGTTTTTGCACCTCGAAAATCAATCCGTCCTGTGATTCACCATTTGCAGACTCAAGCCTCGAAAGTCCATCGAAACGGCATCTCAGATTTCATCCTCTGCCCTCCACCCAAAGAAAATGCTCGGCTTTTTGGCACCACATGAGCCTGGATGCACGAAGTGCGCTAGAAGACTCACTACGACAGGACCGAAGGAACAGCGAGGCCTTTCCGAACCCGAAGCGGTCCTTACTTCAGCGTCTTTCTGGCTGACCCAAAAGGGGGTCCAGCTGGAAGGGCGTGGTGCAACAGATTTGGGGAAGTTGTATTGCAAAAATATTGCGCCAAAGAACATCGATTGCTCAATATTGTGCCGAATGCGTGGCACGGAAAAAACAGAGCAGTACACCTGCGCCCCGGAATGGATTGCATGCACGCCCCCAGATCTACTGCCACCCCACGCATCTCTTACACCAGATCTATGGCACCACCCCTGTGTAGCTGGACCTCCATTTGGAGAAACCAAAAGGTGCCGACACCGCTTCTCCCTGGACCTCTCCCGGGGTGTGTTCTGACCAGGATTTCGAGGCGAATTCAGCGGTGGTGACGAGGGCCTCCCAGGAGGCCGAACAAGGGGAAGAGCGGCGAGGGGGTAGAGGCGTGGGCAACTGTTCCGCCTCGGACGATTTGCGTCGACCATCTGCGTCAACCAGCGCCCAGACCTCGGGGTTGTGCCAGGGACACCTTGAGGGACCCGCCAGAAAACGTCGCCCCGAACTGCCCGCCCGACTGCCCAGCCGTGCCCCGCCCTCGCGTCGTCGTCGTCGTCGTCGTCGTCGTCGTCGTCGTCGTCGTCGTGATCCTCGTCGTCGTGGTCCTCGTCGTCGCCAGTCGCCGTCGTCGCTGTCGTCGTTGCCGTCGTTGGCGTCGTCGTCGTCGCCGTCGTCGTCGTCGTCGCCGTCGTCGTCGCCGTCGTCGTCGCCGTCGTCGTCGTCGTCGTCGTCGCCGTGCCCGTGCCCCGCACGCAGCCGCAACGCCCTGCGGCCCTCCGCCCGTCCGCCCGGCCCCCCCCTGCAGCCCACGGCCCTGCCGAACCCCCGCCCGACCATCCGTCGGCGGCGCGCCCACAGAGGCCTCCCAACGGAGCGACGACCCAGCGAGGCCATTACTCGGGAGACTCTTCATGGGGGGGGGGATCCCATGGGAGGATAGGATCCCAGGGGGAGGGAATCCCATAGGATCCCCTGGGGATCCCATGGGGGGGGCAGGAGGGGATCCCATGGGGGGGATCCCCTCCTGCCCCCCCATGGGATCCCCCCCCATGGAGAGTCTCCCGAATTACGCGACATGACACAGCGACCTTACGCCGCGGCTCACGGGCGGACCCAGGTCAGAAGAGCACAGCCTCCCTCAAGAACACGAGGCCCTCCACCGGCCAAGCCGAAGAGAGCATTCGAGGGTGCCCTCCCCCAGGAAGCACAAGAGCATCCATCAACCGACCTCGATCTTATACCTCGCCCAAGTGGGGCCCGAGGCCTCCCGCACTACGGCCCAAACACCAAACCTCTGACGATTTGATTGTTTAAACGGAGGTGCTTCCTCGATTGCAGCACTCGGGGGCCGACTTCGGGCCTCAGGGTCATCAAACTGAGATCCTGAACAAAAGAACTACTCTCATGGAGGCCTCCCAAGTGTGGTCCGACCAGGTGGGGTTGGAGCATCGCGCTGCATTGTCGATGCATCGCCGATGCAGCGGCGACGTCGGCGGTGCATCGCCGATGTCAGCGTGGAGAACATCGAGTTCCACATCGAGATGCATCGCCGATGCATCGGCGATGCTGCGCGATCCTCCGACCCCATCTGCTCGGATCCCATCTGGGAGGCCTCGAGCCCAGGGGGGATAAGTACACTCGCCATCGCTCGGACACCCATTCCGGTTGCTCTGTTCGGCTTCGTGCGCGTTTCTTTCTCAAGATGGTCCAAGATGCTCCGAGATGGTCGGTTTCTCCGAGCGCTACCAAGCAGAGGCGGCGGGCATTATCAGGCGGGTCAAGAGGCCTTCGGCCTTCTTAGCCGCTGCCTGAGCCTTCTCCGAGGCCACACACAGACGGCCCTCCATGGCTTCCCACGAGGCTGGAGGGGTTCTAGGAAGCCCCTCTGCCTTCTGAGAAGGCCTGCACCCGATCACCCCAGACATGCGATGTCCTGATTTGTGTCGGTACGGTGTTCCCTAAGGTTCCGACCCTTTGCCCAGGGCTGGCTCTTCATTCCGAATCCCGAAAACTGCTAGAAACCTCCCGTCGTTTTATACATATTTATATATATATATGTACACATATCTATATATACATATATATGTACACATACATATATATATATATATATGTTTGTATAAACATAAATGTATATATACATATATACATATATATATATATATGAGTTCAGCATGTTACAAAACTAAACGACGCGAGCACGCCTGGGAAGGGGGGAGGGCGGGGCGCCGCCGCACCGCGGCAGGTTCGGGGCTCGAGGGCCGATGGGGAGCTCGAGGATCCAGGTAGCCAGAGGTAACATCGAGGATCGAGGCTCGGGGATCGAGGTGGCCCTCTCGGGGCCCTCGTGGGGGGCCCTCTCGAAATGGCCCCCTCGGCGCGCCGCCGAATCAAACCTGAGGCCGGGCTCGCTCCAAACCGCCGCTCGTCCGCCCGCTCTCCGTCGAGGCTCCGCGCTTTCGCCTCCGCAACTCCCGCCCCGCCTCGAT